ATAAGAATAAATCTGCTTCGCTTAGGAAAGAAAAGGGAATAACTTAATCACGCAGTTGAATTAATTAATTTATGACAGTTTATTGAAGCACCAATTTACAATAGTCAACAATGATCTCCTGTACGAGAGAGTGATTGCTTCATGATGGTGCTATTGCTGCCAGAGTCTCGTCTGGTGAAGATTACTCTGCACCACAATTATTGGCACTGAGAACGAGATCAGGTTGGAATAACTTTAATCACAGTAAATATTTTCGGCCATTTACACGCCTGTAAACTGATCGGAAATAAAGATCGCAAGACTCAAAATACATGCATATATTGTAATTTACTATGTAGAGAATACTCATTTTATCTGCAAAATAGACGGTAACGAATTGTGCAACAAATGAACTTGCCAAGACAGATTATAAAAATTTATTTTTCTATATAATATTCTTAATCGCAAAAAAGCCAAATCTGGCAATTTTGCTCAGAACTAACTGAAGCGCCACTTGAAATCGTCCAATGCGCCACATTTGGCGCATGCGCCACGTTTTGGCCACCCCTGGGCTACAGTATATGTATAATATTTGAATATTTTAAATTTTGTTGAAAATAATATATAATTAATGCCTAAGAAGATAAAAGCTAATATAAATTAAACTATAAGTCATAAAATATAATGCAACAAGATCTGAAATATAAAAGTTTTCATGTAAAGTGGTCTTTATTGTTTTATAGAAAATCGTTTAGATTTATTTTGAGATAAAGAATAAATTTATTCATTTAAAAACTCACTTGGTATGGTTAATGATAATTTTAAAAAATGTAAGCTAAATAATGAAATAAATGCAGTTAATTTAACTTGTTTAAGTTTTCATATTAAAAAATTTACTTTGAACAATAATAATAAGCATTTTATTGTTAGTGTTTGGTTTAATTTGTTTCTTTATTAAATTCAATTAAATATAGTCTAATATTTAAAATCAATTATTCTTCAAATGCAATTAGAAATCATTATAGAAATTAATAATCTTATCACAATTTTCACAATAAAATTACAAATAAATTATAATTTTGAACATTGAAGTTAATTAATAAACATGCATACAAGGGCTCCTCCAATTACTAAAAGAAGACCGCCAAAAAGATCATTTGATTTGGGCTCTAGACAAAGAGAGAACCCCAAATTTACATTACTTTAGATAAGAAAATAAAATATTGGAACGTTATCTGCTGGAAATATTTCAGAGATAACGTTAAATTAAAGAAAAGAAACAATTAAAATTGCAGTCAAAAGGATAACATTTTTGATAGAAGGAAAACGAGAGGACACTATAGTTCAATGGAAGATGGTTTTCAACCTTAGGACCTCGCCGGATGGCCGAGCGGTCAAGGTGGCAGCCTACCGCTCTGGGGGACCCGGGATCGAATCCGGACGGGTCAAAGAATCCCCAGGAATTTTTCGGGGTGGACCGTTCGGATATGTCGGGCCCCATCACTCACCACCCGGTCACCCCATTGTGGGACTGGCCGAACCCATAATGGGCCTACTTTGAGAAGCCCTCTTAGTGCACACAGGGCGGAAAGAGTAAAAAAAAAACTTAGGACCACATCCAATTTCATCTTTCTCTGTTTCTGTGTTTATATCTTTAGTACATCAAGAAAAGAAACTGAAATAACCCGAAGAAAAATTGTATAATATAATATAGGCTATTATATAATATCAAAACGAAGATGGATCTTCCTTTTAAAGTAAAATGAAGAATGTTCCTCATATTGTATCTATACGAGGAACGTTCTTCATTTTGACTTTAAAAGTATTCTTACGCTATTTTGTAAAATATTCAAGAATTACATTAAAAATTAAGTAAGTAACCGTGAAAAATGTAATAATTAAGTTTTCGGCAATAAAAAATCGATATACTTACATTACATTTTGTCATCAAATCTATTGAATCATACTTGTAATGTCCTCATCGAGCACACAATAGCAATAGAGGGAAATTTATAGAATTGGTTGAAGCAGATCGCTGCCATATTAAGAATCCTAAAAGTAGTATCTTCGCAGCGGAATAGAAAGATCTACATTGTAGTTAATACTTATTTTAAAATATTTAAAATTTCTTGTGTTTACCCATAATGGTACAGTACTGTACATTACATAGTTTTCGGTCGTACCAATAACAAAGGAAATACAATGAAAAACGAGAAATAAAACATAATACAGTATTTCTTTACTTTAATATACCAATAATAAAAATGTAACGCGAAATTGCAAAAATATACCGGAATTTGAAATCAGAGTCCGATATATTATTCCAATTTCTATTAACTCAAATACTATATTTATAATAGATTAGATGTAATAAACACGTCTAGTTGATAGAAATCAATAATCATATCGGATATTAAAAATAATATCGATTTTAAGACAGATAATCGATAGAATTGATTGATGACGGAAAAATTCCATTTATGTTCCGAGTTGGCAACACTGATTTGGCGCAAGTCATTGTATTGCACTCCCTTCTCCTTTCCTTCCTTTTCCTCTGCATCCTCAGGGAGATTAAGTCCTCCGTCTTCGTTTCGGAGGATATTTTTTTCGGTTTAGAGATCCCAAAACAAGAAATAAAAAAACGAATTTAACCCAAAAATTTTAACTCCGCTTCGATCGTCCAAATCTGAAATTTACAAGAATTTTGAATATATTAATCAATTTCCTTACACGTGATTTACATCCTTAGCATTTGAAATATGGTTGCAAGAGAATTTCCGTATGTATTACGATTATTTCTTTTTAAATTTAAATTTAATTAAGATATTTCATTTCGATTTGATCCTTAAAACTTTAATTTATATTACATTTATTTTCATCGTTTAAATGTTTTAACTTAATGTTTAAATGTCTTCACTTATAATTGGTACTGTATATTAATGTGTTTTTAAAAATAGTTTTCTTGTAGCAATTTAAAAAAAGCCAAAGATCCTTGATGATGATGATTATAATTTATATTACATAATGCTATAATGACTTGTTATTTTTCATAGCTATTTGCTTCATTCTTNAGTTAGGTCTATATTTTATTAAGTTCTTTCGTGATTTTAACCAAAAGAGAAGGGGCAGACATCGACCGGATCGGTATACAATAATCAATAAGACATTGAAAATTAGCGAAGGAACGCAAAACAATTTCAGAGAATATGGGATGGTGAAATCTCCATAGGATTTGGTGTACAACTAAATCTTCTCTACTTTTTGTTACAGCAAATAACTTGAAAGAATGAAAAAACAATTTCGTAAATTTTTAATACAAATAAATATAAATTCATTTAAACTATGTTCATCGTCAAAAAATTTTGATTCTATGTCTTTCGGCCACCGTTATAAAATTAACCTCGCATCTAATTGTTTTCATTTTTCCAATACGTTCATTGGTTATTCATATTTTTAAACAATCCACTGCACCTGGAGAAATGAAATAACTAAATAAAAGTTTATTCGTGTTGACCTAATTATTTATCCCTCTTTGCAGGTTGCACTCGTGTGGCGTTGCCATAAGGCAATCAATCCAAGCCTTACTTTTTGACTAAATGTTTTATAGTATAAATGGAAAATATATTTTCATAAATTTGGAAATAAAAACTTATTTAACACTTGTAGTGTATAAAGAAAGTTAACAACTGAGAAAAGTTTCAGTAGCGAAAGTTATATTCTAATTTTTTTTAGTGTAAGAACAATTACTCTTTTATACTTAACACGCGTTCAACGCTTGGATCCATTTGAAACGGATCCAAAACTGAGGTCGTAGTATCTAACTTGTTAGAAACTGAAACGTTGTAAAATCTTGGCTGGAAAAATAATTCGGTATATTATAAACAATCCTTTACGTGTGTTTTTCAGTCAAAATACAAACTGTTTTAATTTTCTTCCATACTAATGACAACTGATGATATTCTCCCTCTTATTGCCTCAACATGTTTTATCTAGTTCTTTTTATTTTATTAGAAAATCACAAAATTTAGACTCTCAATTTTTGTTATTTATGAAATATGTGAGAATGAAAAATACGTTTCACTGTACAACATAAACCTTTACCAAGTGGTACCTCAGGATACGAACGTCCCAGCATACGAAATTTTCAGGATACGAGATGAAATTCGAACATATTTTTGCTCCACGATACGAACAAAAACTCACCATACGAGTTTACATTAGTTCGCATTTTTCATTTGTTTTTCTTACTACAGTTATTTTTTTAATGTACTACTTAGCTTTAATTTGAGTGAGTTTTTCGTGTTGGAACGAATTATTTGGTTTTACATGTAATCGTATGGGAAAAAATGATTCACCTTACGACATTTTCCTGATACGATCTCAGTTTCGGAACGGATTAATTTCGTATCCTGAGGTACCACTGTATTTGTTTTCCCTACTTTCCTATACGTAATCACTTTTAATGTGGATTCGTTTCGCCTTTGGCGTTCCTGACAAAAAAAATTGGGGTCGTTGGATTTTCAAAAATCGAGTGTGGGAGAAATGAACGTCTCAAATTTACATTTAATTTTTCCTTTTAATGTAACCGTGCCGTTTCTTTGTTACTTTCTCTTGNGGTTTATTGAATAAATTCTGTAAAATTTAGCTGCTCGAATTTGTTCGTTTTACTTAAAAATTAAATCACTTTTAGTAGTGTTCACAGATTCTTCGCAAATCCTGGGTTATCTTCGTCTATAATTGACGTGGACATGAATATTATAAAACGATTTAGAATAATTTTGCCAAGTTATAGAACTGCTGGCAAGTGGTGGGTACAGAAAAATTTAATAACTACGCTATCGAGATGGCAAATTCTGTTGAAAAGAACCCCTGGCTGCGTATGCCTGTAAGTGTTCACAAAGATTTGATTCGAGGAGCTCAAATAATTCAATCTGCAATATTTCGAAGAAAGTGCAGGAAACGTGTAATGAAAGCATAAAACAATATAAAGAATATCACGCAAAAAATTTTCAAATAAATACAAGGACCGATTTAGTACATGATCTTTTAATATCATCTGATTCGTAATTACCTTCAAAACAAACAAAAGAGCAAAGATTGTCTTTATGTCACACTTCACTTTCCAAAAAAGCTAAAATTCTATTAAAATGTAAATAATGTCAGCAATATGCCTATACAGACCAACACACAGAAACAATTACTCTGAAAATTGAAACTTGTTTTAGAGGCGAGGTACTGTAAAACCCCTGGGTTAATAAACAGTTTGTGTATGGAAAATAAATACTACACGTGTTTGGAATATTGAAAATGCCAATTTCGTGCAACCATGTGTTCATTAACGTTTTTTTTTATTTTTTTTTATTTTTGTAGTTTATTGAATCAGTCATAACCCAGTATTGTCACTCACTGTATTATTTTCAAATTGACTTTGTGTGTTAAACAGCGTACGTAAAAATGTACAGAAATTATATTGCATATGAAACTTTGCGATTCGTATGCAACGAATCGCAAAGATTACGAATTTTAGGAACACAAAAATGCACCGTAATTTAGCATAACGGATATTGAATAGTTCCAGATTATCCATGATGCCATTTAATGCTACAGCTAAATGTGTTTAATCATTAATAATATATTCTTCGATATTGATTCCAGGGACCGTCTGGAGTCAGAAATACTGAATGTCGATACGATTTTGGGAACATACGAAAACTCCCGGTAATTTAGATTCAGATCGGATTATCGAAAATGTCCATTTTACTTTTGTTAACATTATTTACATAATCCGTTCAAGTAAAACAATTTACAGAAAAATGCATTCGGAATGTCCCTGCAAGTTTCTTAGAACATTTCTTTTCGAGTGCAATCGTGATTGTAATAATAATTATAGTGAAAAAATAGCTGGAATAAAACGTTAAATTATTGTATATTTAAAAGTAATTATAATATTCAGATAAAAATTTAATATCAGCTAATAAGTAAATTAATTTTATCTTAAGTTTAATATTTAGTAATTAAACCTTATTGCTGAGGACCAACAAGGTATCTGGGCCTTCATCCTATTTACGGGGCNATTATTTTTTTATAATTTAAAAAAAAATAATTTTTATAGAAAATTTACAATTTAAATCATGTATATATCTATTATTCACCAGCAATGATGTTAATGTAAAAATCTAGGTTAAATTTTTTTTTTAAAATCAGTTATTAGGTATGACATATAGCATAATGTATGTTATAAATTGATTTTTGTCATTCCAGTTTAATTTATTATGTGATATAAAGCTAAAGCTATTTTAGTTAAAAAAACTAATTAATGTCTGCAACACTTCTGCAATATATCAAGCTGAGATATAAATTAATAAAAATAGTGGTAGATGTTTTTAGTAAAATTGAGTGTTTTTAATATTTGTAAATAGCATAAAAAAAGAACACATAATAAATGTGAAATGGTTAAGGGTTTATTATTTATTTTAACTTCAAGATCTACACTTATGAAAATTTTGCTCAAATAAGCAATATTTTAAAATATCCTAATGCCTCAAGTTTCATTTACATCTTTAAAGAATTTGTTGTTTAAAAATTTGCTTTGTGCCAAATGGCAAACAACCAGATTTTCTAATGTTTCGGCAATCCATTGTACCTTGTTCTTATTGTCAAGGTATACTTTGTAGTGATTATAAATCGCTTGGCATTATAACAGAGTAATTTTTGTTTTCATTATTTAAATACGGGTCAAAATTTTCAAATGTGTTATAGTTAAGAGTTTACTTTATTTAGTCTTTGTGCCTTTTATTTGTAATGTATTTTAAACTTCTGTTTAATTGCTTGAGTTAACCTTAGAACAATACAATTAAAAGAATGCATTAAAAAACATTTTAAATGTATTTCTAGATTACAATAGTTTGTTTTGTTTTCAAAGTCTAAGTACACAAATGGACTTTGACACTGAATTTTAACCCTTTGTAATGTATCAATTGCTCTAGTTTCTTGATAATTTTAGATTTTTGTGATATTTATTACAATATAAATTATTAAAAAAATGAAAATTTGTTTGTACTTAAATTTTGTACTACAATATTGTTATTGAGTTATTTATAGAATTGATATTATATTGACTTTTATATAATATATTGATAAAAAAAACTTTAAGAATTTCAGTAATTTAATAGTTATAAATTTCTCTCTTTAGAAAATTTTCTCAAATTTTTATTAAATATTTTATTCAATTTGATTACTACATTATGGATGAGATTGTATGGCCTTGTTCTATTTAAGCCAAACTTTTTTAATCAATAAGTTATAAATTTATCTCTCTATATAAATAAATGTTCAAATATGAGCCATATCTTGCTTTAAGTGTTTTACTTCATAGACTCTTGATTATGGAATTTTCTGATCTTAATTTTCTGCATAAAAAGATGGTTTTATTCTTATAAAAGTAAATATATTCTTTCTTATACAGAATTATTAATTGAATAATTACTCTTGACACTTTATTATAATAAAAACAAATCAGTATATTAAATAACTTTTTTATCAAAATGTTGTAATTGGACTGATAAATTTTATTTAATCTATTTGATAACTTGCATAAAATAAATACAGTAGTATATCACATACTAGGAAGCATTTTAAACATTAAAGATGATATTTTACAAAAGAGAATGTTTTATAATTGAAACTTCATTCTAATTTTTAATATTCATAAATAAAAATTAATCAAAATGAATGAAAATTATAAAATTAATAAAATTAAAATAATTAAATATGAAGTTT